AATTTATTATATTTTAATTAAATATTTTTTCTTATTAATTTACAAATTTATAAAAAATATTTAAATTATTTAGTTTTAATTTATAACTTTTTTTTATTATGCAAACTATATTTTGTTTATTAAGTAGATGGGAAGAAAATACCACAAATATGTTCAATAATAATACTGCTTATACATCCCAACTTTCATTAACCAAAGTAATATGTAAATAATAAAATCACATGATTCTCCAATTACCCATCCACTTAAATATCTTTGTACATATAGTTACATCCGCATCCATTAATCCTCCTCTTATAAAAGGTTCCACAAACAGTGGTATTGTAAACAAAATAAGTGGTATAAACAGTGTCCTCTTAAAACTTTTGATTATAAACCTATCTTTTATATCCTTCCTCTTTCCTAAAATCCTTCCTTCAATAACTTCCCACAAAATTAAAAGTAATCCATGGAACAAAAAAAATGTTGTATAATCCGCTGAAAAATGATTAAACGCCACTATCAATGTGTAGTCATGAAATAAACCACTTATCAAATAAACCGAACAAATTCCAAGTACGCGCCCGAGAGTTTTATTGTGTTTAAAATAGGTTCGAACTGGAAAGTAGCCAAGTTCATGAAATGTTTCACTATATATCTGATGCCATTGATTTGACCAAAAATCTCGGGGATCAATTGATAAGAATGGATTACCCATTAGAGGTTTCGTGTAGAATAATGAAAGAATTAACCATTCTTTAATAATCATCTTAAGTGATTTTGATTCTTGCAATTTTTCATTTTCTTTTAAACTATTGGACAACAATGGTCTTAGGATTATCCCAAATAAAATACAAGCATTATCCCATACGAGTGAAAAGGATAAAATTATAAAAATAGACCACAAAAAGCAATAAAAAAAGGTATATGTTTCGGTGAATGGATGTCCGGTTATGAAATAATCTAAAACTCGTAATATATATGATCTTTCCGGGATTTCTGGTTTATTGTATTTTAAATATTCTTTTAAAAGATCTCGAATCACAAATTTAGTAATAGCTTTAATTAAATGATTAATCATTTTTAAATTAAGATCTTTAACCGTAATAGAATCAATATATTTTTGATAATTAGTTTCATAAGGAATGGTTATTCCGTTGATACGCCAGTTAAATAATGTGCTGACGAATGATGGAAATTTTGTTTTTGGATCGATAGAAAACTGATAATTTTTTTTCATCCATATTATCATTTTGAATGTATAAATTGTCGCAAATGTTGCTATTTGGAAATGCATACGTGAGTCATACTTTCCACGATATATAAAGGGTATCAAGGCTTGAATAAAGATTATAATCCAGAGCAAACAAATGTGAAGCCTACTGGTTACAGGTTTTTTAAGAGATAAGAATATAAATGTGAACATAGGAATATGGAAAATTGTTGTATAAGTTAGTGGACTTAATGCGGGTGGAAAGTTATATAGCTGAGACATCCTTTAGTAGTTGCAGAAATATAAATGTATATTGATTGTTGCTTTCTAAAATTTTTTGAAATGAGTGTTTGCTTAAAACTAATTATGCCTGACGGAAATGATATCGATATTTATATGTTTCGTTTATCATTGACAAGCTGTTGCGTGCGTACGTCACATATATATTTTTTAACATTTCGGAAATTCTCGGATTTTATTAATCTCTCAAAATGGGATTTATATCGTGTATTAATTATTCACGAATGGTAAGTGATAGATCGATATATACGTCAGTGCCATTGACCAAGATGCGAAATTCCGATTTACAAACACTAAATATGGGTGCTGCCAACTGAAAACCTGACATTCTAAAAATAGATTTCTATAGACAACGGAATGCGGAGTTTTAACTAATCTGACTAGAATTATACTTTTTTTTTGATCACATATAAAGATGGGCAAAGTACTGAAGTAAGTTAACATATTATTATTATTTTTAAATATTTCCGACAATTTTTTTGCGTAATAAATAATAATAAGTAAAGATGCAAAATTCAATCTGAACAACAAAATTATTGAGTTTGAAATTTTACTCTCCAGATTACATTTGAAAATTGTGATAAGTAATAATCATGCATCATAAACAATCATTGGTAATAATACGTAAGTTTAAGTACTGGGTAAAAAAATAAGTAATTATTACTTACATTATTACCTTGCACATCTCTAATCACATAGTAGTATCATTTAAAGTCCCTATTCCGTTGTCCGTAGAAATCTATTTTTAGGATTTCAGGTTTTCACTTGGAAGCACCCATATGTAAAAGGTATTACAGATAAAGTAAATACTTTCCTTTAAAAGAGATTTCAAGCTGAGTCTTTTCTCGGCTACTGTAGTACAAATTACGTTACCATTATATGCAACTATTATGGTAATTCATTTCTAATATTGGGTTTCAAAGCCAAGAACTCTTTTAATAAAAATATTTAAGATATTATGATTTGAACTATATGAGTGGCGCCAAACGAAAACCAGACTTCGTGAATTTAAGATAAAACAGAGACCGTTAATGTTACACATTGTGATACCAGAATATCGTGACCGATCCCGTGAAAATACACGAAATGCAATAAGTTACATTTGTGATCGGAAACGGTATTTCGGATCCAGAGGGATAGAGGGGGAGAATGTAAGGATAAATTACACATCCTTAAAGAAATAAAACATTACTAGAAAAATCAAATAAGCAATTGTAAATAACATTAAGTAGTCTTAAAGTAATAATAAGTGCAAAGTCGCATTTGTAAGCGACGAATTTAGCAATATAAATAAAGGCCGAAATGGCCCTTAGAAGCGATATGCTTCGTTTGCTTTATTAAATTACAAGTCCCAATACATTATATCGTTTATAATAAAATACTAATACTATACCCAGTACAAACCCTGTAAAATCTATAAACTTCGTTATTCGTTCGAGTTCATTATCACGTGACTTACCCTACTTGTATTCGTTGACCCAAAGTAACCGAAAGCCTTAATCACCCACCAGCCAAATCTAACGCCCTCTTTCATAAAGGATACCCATCGTACGTTACACGAGAATTTGGATTGTGGAGCGACCGAGTCGCAATCATCCGAACCCAACAACATATATTAAAACTGGTGAGGGATTATACCCATCATAATTGAATCCATCATAAATAATTTAGCTTTTGATTGATCACAGGCGAGAGTCACAAGCAAGAAGATTCACTTTGGATCAGGCACTGTCTCTGCTATATTTGCTAGATGTGGCCCTGATCTGAGATGTAGTGAAATGTAATTAAATGAGAGCTGTAAAGGCTTCGAACTTTCAAAAATATTTGATAGCCTGAAGTCTGATTTCTTTTGCAGTACTCATTTTAATTACACATCGATATGTTTCGGATTAGGGCTGAATAAACTTAAATTACAAAGTCTAATTTTCTCTTGGCAGCACTCATATGTAATGACTATTATATACGAATATGAATTGTTGTTGCTCAATTTTCCTAAGTCACTTTTCAAAGAATCAATTCTCTTACTCCATAATACCGACAACCTTATTTCCTGACAAGACAAATTCCTAACGTTCCATTAGTGATATATCCAGACAACCATTAATCTTGGCAAGAAAAAGTATTTTTGTATTCTATGTTCTTGGAAGACTCTTCGCACGTACCAGGAACGGAGTGATGAAATCACGTAGTGTATGGTTATACGGATGTTCGTCCTCAAAAACTCGTAAATGATTGGATAATGCATCAAATGCACTTAAATTTCACAATGTTACATCGTCACATTGATCTGAACTTGCATACATTATTAAACTTGCTTTGTGAGAAATAACGCAAATTTCTGCAATCGCAATTATCAAATATCATTAATCATTTAACATAGCTAAGCAAGAATATCCGGAAGCAATCAGGTTAGGCGTAGAAGTGCAATCATTAATACTAATCGAGGGGTCCGTTTACATAATTGATTTACAAATAGCATAATTTGCGTTCTTGATATCTTTATAAATAATACCCCCTATTGCGTTCTTGATATCTTTATAAATAATACCCCTAACTACATCAGAAAAACTAATCCTAACCGAACCTGGTTTGGACGTTTTTCCTAATCGAGCATGCAGATTATCTAAGGCAATGACCTAGCGAGAACATGAGGTCAGGAGTATACAATAATTAACTGCTTAATTTAGAACTATAATATACCAATACGTAATTCCTAATAATATCTACGTATATTGTAAGTGGTCTTGCATGATGTGAACAGCGGTCATAAGAATCCACATTAATATGAAATCCAATATGCATATTGGCTGACTCATTTTAAAAAAGAAGTACTTAGACACAAGCTCTCATATATGATTTTGTCTAGCCAATCAGCTAATAATTAGCTGTTTGATTTTTTTAAGTGTTCCGTTCCTGGTTTTGCGCGATGACGTCGCGCAGCTATCTAGTTTTTATTATTTATCATTTTTTGAATCAACATTCATTACTGGATGTAAAAATTGTTTACATGATTTTAATAAATCATATTAATATCATTACAAATCAATTGCATTACACGACTCAATCCAATTAATTCAAACAATATACACTTCTGCATTATTGTTAAAATATATTTTCAACATCTTAAGCTTCGATTTAATTTAAATTTTATTTATTTTTTGTACAAATTAAAAATAAAAGTTAGACTATCTTTTGTAAATGATTATCGTAAGCTATAAATAACAATGAAAAATTTAATTGATGCAATATCAATAAAAAAATTAGTTAACACTATACATAATTAAACATGAGTTAGTCAGATATTGAACTCCGTGAACTTGGATGGAAATATCAAAAATGCCATTGGAGTCGAGAAGGACAAGCATAAGGCTTTTGAGTACTATAAAAAATCTGCAGATATGGTTATGAAACTGCAGCTAACGATATTGGAAATTGTTATCTATATAAAATTGTGGTTTAAAAGGATAATCATACGTAAGACATTCACATATTTTCAACAATCTGCCGAGATGGGACATGCAAATGCAATTAATGATGTTGGATATTATTATAACAATGGTGGAGTTGAAAAGGATGAAAATAAAGCACTCAATTATTATCAAAAATATGCAGAGATAGGGAGTGCTAAAGGAGCATATAATGTTGGAAATTGCTATAAAAATGGAATTGGAATTGTAAAGGATAATGGCAGGGCGTTTATTTATTTTAAAAAATCAGCAGATATTGGGGCATTAGCGGAATCATAAAAGTTGGAGATTGTTATGTAAAAAAAAGAATGGGAGTAGTAAGAGACATACAACGGAATCATTGGTATCAATGGGAAGAAATACAAAAAAGACAAACAATAAAGTATTACACGAAGACCTAGATTATGATGAATTAAAGAAAGTAATAAATGACGAAAAGTATAACCTAACGTGGATTCATTATAATGAGATTAAAACGTAAGTTATATTGGAAAAGGTGGTTTTGCAACTGTATATTTGGCTGAATGGTTTCAAGAATTCATTGACAAGATAATATTATATTATTATTTAATTAACTAATTGTATTTATTTTTAATTAATCATTTAATTTTAATTTAATTAATTATTAAATATAAATAGTTGAAAAAGAATTGACGAAAATCCATCATTTTTAAGATGTTACAGAGTATCAAGGGATCCGAATTTAAAAGATTATATTATTGGAGTATGCAAAGGAAAGAAACCTTTCTAAAGTTATAAAAACAGATTGGAAAAAAGTTGATCCTGTTGTATTGTGTGACTTCGGATCTTGAATCCATTCATTCTCAAGAATTAATTCATAGAGTTTTACACTCTGGGAATACTTTACAAGATCTTTTGCATAATGCATACATCAATGATTTTGGTCTTTCAACATCGTCTGATATTAAACAGGATGACAAAATTCATGGTATTGCACCTAAATCTTAAGGGGTTAATAATTTACGCAAACGGCTGACATATATTCGTTCAGTGTTATTATGACCGAGATATCTTCTGGCAAAAAAGCATTTGATAGCGTCCCTTTTAATACAGAGTTTTCGTCAAAAATTTGGTATGAACATAAACGACCAGAGTTTGGTGAAGGAACTCCAGAATGCTATGTGCAATTGGGCAGGAGGTGCATGGATTCTGAACTCAAATAAAAGGCCAACGGCTATCATCATCGGTTCAAGAATCGTCGGTTGCTTGACGATATAGAACAGGATAATAATAACGACAATTAATTCAAGTGATATGTACATGTTACATTTAAAGTAGAGCCTGGCTAAAATTAAGCCCCTTAGATATATAAAGTAGCTACTTTAGATAAATCGCTACTTCAGATGCGACATATACAAGCAAACCGATTAACATAAATGGTGCTTTAAATTTAAATACAGTAAAACCTTCATAAGTGCACGCTCTCGGGACCAGGCTTTACCGACGTGCACTTAGAAAAAGTGCATTCATGTATAGATTTGGGCCCGAATTTAAGCGTGCATTTAGAGAGGTGTGCACTTATAAAGGGCGCATTTATAGAGGTTTCTGTAGTCAGAATATGTTCATTCAAAATTTATATCTTTCAGACTTAGATATTTCAAATTATATTTATGCAAAATAATGAGTCTTACGAGAGTTAAGATAATTATGAACGCAGACGTTCAAGATATTTATCATTCTATGTTAAGTTTATTCTATATTTGAAGCAAAACCTTCATTAGATGATAATTCAGCGCATAATAAAACATAATTTTTATATATAGAAAGATTTTATTCAATTAAAAGACTTTGTTTTGTGCTCCATAATTTTGGTGAATAAACATAAATTAATTAATCAAATTATTGAATTTTAATATTAATATAAAACTGTGCTTTTAGGTACCTCTCGAATTCGTTAAAAAATAGCGAGCCAAATGTAATACGATCAGAAAATTTCAAGACAATATTAATATAAAGAAAACTTTTGGTTATCTCTCAAAAAACGCGCAAGAAGGCTCTTTTCGCGCTCTAACAAAAAGTTTTCCTTGATCAAATTTACAATATATTCATTCTACTTATCTTAACAGGTCCAATTTCTAAGTAACCTAGTCTTAATAGATTCTCCGTTATTTGATATAATAAATGATAATATACTTATTGGTTAAATAAACTTAAATAAGAGATGCGATTCGCAAGCTAAATCGACATGAATAAGAATAAATTGAAATTATTTCAATGAACAATAACAAACATTTATAAAAACAATGTCAAAACAGTATTGAATGATGTGTCTACTAAATTGTAGTGTTACGATCCAAATTTTATATACGTAAATCAAGAGTCATTATTATGAAAGTATACAGTATTTATTCAAGATCCGTTAATTCAAATATAAATGCATAAGCGTTTATCCAACTTATGGATTTTCTGTTATGTATACGATGTACCAGTACAATGCCTAGTTAAATAAAAAAATTTATCTATTATTCATTGATTTCTTGCATTTGAGAAACAATCAGAAAAATTGCATTTATAGGGACCTATTTAAAGAGATAATTTTGAGGATTGCATTTAAAATAATATTGTATTTAGAAAAATAAAGCTATATAAATTTTAAACCAATTTTATTAATAAAAACTAAAACAAAAAAACCGATTCTTTAATTCACTGTAAACCACTAGCTTTATAAATACAAATAATCCATTTTGACTAATTAATATATTAAATTTTTTTATATCTCAGTTCTTTCTTTTTTTCATTATTCTGGTTTTACATGTTTATTAATAAATGGTAATCCAGAAGCTTTTTAATTCAGAAATAAAATTAATGATTAATTGATATAACAGTATATACGAAATATTAACAAATGACAATAATATTTACCAACTCTTAAAGCGCCAATCGTACAACTCCAATCATAATTTTCTGCACCTGGTTCATTGTCTTTTGCATAGTTCAAATGTTCATTCATTAAATCTGCTATTGGTAACTGCGCACCCGAGTCTTTTGCTAATTGCCGAATATGTCTATCACATTTTGTAAATATATAAGATTGATTATACGTTTGTATATAAATTAAAAAAATGTATAATTTGTATATATAAAAAAAGAAAATTTTAATAGAATATATTACCCTACGTCTTTTAAGGCATTAGTAACGGTAAATCCAACCTCTTTATCAAAATTTTCTTCTATCATTCTTGTTCCTGTGAATATCAAGAAAATAGATCAATAAAAAAATTTTTTAGATCTTAAAGTAATCAATAATTTTTAATTACCATAGTATGTAAGAATACTTGATGAATAAACAGAGGAAATAAATTCCATAACCATTTCTTTTTCAAGACCAGATTTTTCTGCAAAAGTAATTCCTTCTGATAATAATTCAACACTACCGATAATGAATAAATTTCCCATTAACTTATATTTTGCTGCCTTCGTTACATCATCGCCTACAAAATAATTAATATTTTATATGGAATGAGAACCAGAATGCACATATTTAATAATGAGATATTTATAGGAAAATTTTTCGAACCAGCAGGTAAAGTTTTCTTTCCTAACACAGGTACTAATAGTGGTAATATACAATCAATTACGTCTTGGTTGCCAGAAGTGATAATTGACAGCTGTGCACTCTAAGGAAAGAATGTTTAATGAATAAAATAATTTAAATTCTAAAATAGCATTTATTTTATTCACCTTTGCAGCTCTAGGAGCGCCCCAAACAGGACAATGTAATAAAAACGTATTATTTGCCTTCTCAACTTTTTCTCTGAGTGCACTAATTGTAGTTGGAAGTATAGTACTTGTTTCAATAAATATTCTTTTTCTCTTATTATTATCATTAATATGATCTAATTCACTCAATAATTGATCATAAGTTTGATTAACAGCGTCATCATTAGAAAGTGAAGTAAAAATTATATTAGCATTTTCAATGACTTGTTTCAAACTAGTAGCAGTGATAGCTCCAATTTCTTTTACAGATTGAGTTTTGGCAAATGTACGATTGTAAACGATCAATGGAGGAAGATTATTTGATGCAAAATAGGTTTGAAGGTTTATTGCCATTGGAAGTCTATTTTTAATAAAGTTGATGACAAAAGATAATAAATAATTAATACATAACTTGCATCGTAAAAACAATTTAATGAATACATATTTACCCCATGGCACCTAATCCAATAAATGCATAACGATCAGAATTTGATGACATATTTTATTTTAAATTGTTGGATTTTGGAATATAAAAATGATCGTAGCTACTAAGTAGTGAGTTTTTTTGGATTTGTTTTTTTTAAAAAAAAAACCAACATTCACCCAAGTTTATTATATAGTTATCTGCGTTGTAGTCACTAGTTAGATTTAACCTAATCATTTTAGAAATATTTGTATGCATGTGGTGAAATAAGAGCCTTGGCTATGTAGTACGTAATACTTTTTAGGTATTTTTTTTTCTTGTTCGTGCTGACAAATTTTTCTTAGTAATTTATTTGGGGGTATTTCTTTCCATATATGAATGCATGACGTTATGATGCTTCGCTTGCACTTTGAAGTTTATTACAAATAGTGCATTGATGACAAAAAAAAATTCCTTGCAATTTTGAAATTTTCATTTGTCATATTATATCTTGTGAACACTTGCAGGTAATTCATGTTGTAGTGGTCACTACCGAAAGCAATTCAATTGACAATTTACAATTGTAAAGATATGTGATAAAAGGTACAATAGTACAGTGATGGGTAAGAAGGCTTCGTTTGACTTTCATATTGGTTTCAACTAAAGATAACACCAAAAGTGGGTACTTTCGGCACCTACTGAAACCGAAAGTCGAAATTTTACTTTCACCAAAAATAAAAGGAACTTTTCAACGCCCGTAGATCTCCCATAAAAAATTAATCACCTAAGGTGATTTAAAGATTTCATTACACCTGATCTTTGGGATAAAAATCACGAGGGAGGATTTTTTGTGGAACTATCTTTTCGAACATGTCACGTGTCACATACTTGACAAAGAGCCGTATACCTGAACGTGACAGATATCTACTTCGTTAATGATCCTCTATTAATAATAAAAAATACGTAAATATCTGACTGCAAATATAATTTTGATTGACATTAATTATTTTACTTTTGTAGTCTTTCGTAAATTTCCATTAAGTCTTCATTGTACTATGACTTTTTTGTTTGGAATCCTCTAAATTCGGAAATCAGAAAGTGGAACGCGAGTGTTATGAAGAAGATATAGGTGTAAATAAGGATGAAAAAAGGAATTTAAATGGTATTTGAAATTTTCTGAAGGTGGCAATTTGGATGGACAATATTATGTTAGGAACTACGACCGAAATGGCACAGGTATAGCTAAAAGATGAAAAAAAAGCATTAAGTGGTATTTAAGATCTGCTGAAAATGGCGACTTGAAAGAACAATATAAAGCTGTAATCCACTATAAATAAACATTTGAATTATTTTTGAAATTTGTTAATATGGCAATCCTGACGGATAAGACCATCTCGAATACTGTTATAGCAGAGCAATACTGAAATTTGATGAAAAAATAACGATCTTAATAATATGTAAAACAAATATATCGTTTTTGGTAAGCCCGATCATAATCGGATGCCAGATAATATTGTAGACAATTTTGTGCATTTTATTTATAGTTCAAGTTTGGGAAAATCTGGAGCTACATTGGGCTTCAGCTTCCAGTTGACAACACTGATCAAGAAATAATGCTAAAATTCGCATTTTATTCGATATAAACTTATAAGTAAAAATAAATGTTAGCATTAAATCACGCAAAGAATAAAATAAATAGAGCAATGTCCGATAATACTAAGTAGGATTCTGCAAGTGCCGGGCACGTACCAGGGATGGTAAATGACCTAATTAAAATTGATTATTTTACGAAAATATAATATAATTAATAATTATAACTACATATAAAAATCAAATTTTTACTAAATTAATCAATATTTATATCTTAAATAAAGTTATTTAAAAGAACAAATTACATATATTCTAAAAATTTTATCCAATTTTAATAACTTTTTATTAAGAAATTTTTGTATTTTATGTTTAATTAAAAAAATTAAAATTTTTTACTTTTTTTTTGGTGTTAAGGTGACCTCTTTGGTCTTTTGACTTTTATTAATGACTTTTTTGGTAATGTGATTCAATGAACCACTACAGGAAAGCGTACAATTGGCTACACGTGTAACTTTTCTATATTACCTATTCAAGGAGTTCGCCCGAAGGTTCCTCACCAATTGTCGTACTTAACACCCCTGCTTGAGTGTTCCACTTTAAACCCTCCGAACCTGCATTAAAATTTTTTGTATAAAGGTAAAACACCAAAACATATTAATATAAAAGTTATTGTAATTAAATAAAAATTTAAAATATATGTAATTTATTCTTCTAAACAACCTTACTTGAGATATACATATTAATTAACTTAGCAAATTTTTGGATTTTATATATAGCTACAATTGTTAATTAGTAAAATTATAATATTTGATATCTTTTTATATTAGCTATTTAACTAATAAAATTGTTCATATGTAAATAACCAAAATGATCTAATGATCAAATGAACTGGGTCATTCATTATCCAAATGACTAGGTCATTTAAATTTTAAGAAAATGATCAGGTCATTTACCATTCCTGCTTATAAGTATCGTTTTTTGAAAAATTATTGACAATATATTTTATTAAAAAACATTATATAATCACATTATTATTAACATTTTATAATTCCATCTTTATGAAAAACAAACAGGTAATTATAGAAAAGGATGGTTATTTTTTTTTTGAATTTAAATTAACAAATTTTTTCTAAAAAAAAAATTGTAGTATAAATATTATCGGTAACTCTTGCTTTGATAAAAATATATTTTAAAACAACTTACTGTAAAATATAAGATTGTATTGTCAATTTTTCATTAATGGCATATTAATAAACATCGTTTTTTAGTCCATATACTATACGTTGGACCCATCAATTAATGATGAAGGTTATACACTGTTAAACATATGAAACATTAAAAGTGCATACTGTATAAATTTTGAGAAATAAATGCAAAGCAGTACCAGCAATATCATCGTTATGTATTTTTTGAACGTTCTTTAAACAATTTTAGATTTACAATATTCAAATAATCTGCTTTAACTTTTAAACAAAAATTTTAGAATAAGGGTGTCCTCAATATCTTCCTATATGGTGAAACGTGATTTAATGTTGTATAGTAATAAATTCAATTAATATTTGTGTTTTGGTGTTTTAATTACTAGTATTTTTTAACAATCTCTAAAGTGATAGCGTTTATACATCTTATATAAAGATTAATTTTGTAAAAAGAAATTCACCCAAATTTTGAAAATTTTTACCAAAATAGCTCTGCGTTATCCTTTTGCATAACAAAACTTTATTTTAACAAGATTCAGTTCTACTAGACTATAACGTTTATTCGGTTTTAAACTAACATGATTATTCTACATTAAAACTACCAAAACTAGTTATGAACATTACCATATTTGCTGAAGGTTACTACGTGTAAATAGAACCGAAAAAACACATTTGTAGTTGTGAAGAAAATATTAAATTATTGAAATTGGTAAATCATGTATAATTTATACATGTAAGGCGCTAAGATACAACATTGGTTAAAAAGTAATGCGTCTAACTGTTAAAGAAGATTACGTTCATATAATTTTAAATATTAACAACTTTTTTTTTATTAAACACAGTATTTAAATAATTGCGATAAATTTGCGTTATTGTTCCTATATGTGATCCAATATTTTCATTTTTCATTATCCACCAAAATAATATTGAAAATCCTAGATAAATCAATTCTGTTCTATTCGAAATTAGCCTTACGCTGTATGTTGAGCTCTTTCATTAAAAAGTGTGAATTTAAAATACTTTCTTTTTATTAATAATTATTGAATTAAAAAAATATTATTATCAATTTATCAATAGCGGGTAACTTGATTTTTTTTTTATTACACTGTTAGTTGAGATCGTCCACATGTAAATTTTTTACTTCTAATTTCAATATAAAACTTATTGGGGCAAATAAGTTTTTAATCGAATAATAACGTCTTTACATTACGTCTATATTTTATATAAATATATGAAAATTGAAAAATATAAATAATCAAAAGAGTGCTTCAAGTACAAAATAAATTCTATCATAAAAAATAATAAAAATCTTGAACGTTTGAATTTATAATTATCGTAATTCAAATGACAAGTTTTACATAAATATAATTTAAATATTATAATCAGAAAGATATAATCCTTGAGTAAACGTGTTCTGTCTACTTGAATTTGAAGCATCGATTATTTTTATTGGTTTGCTTGTATACATATGATTCGGATGAATCGATGATTCAATTTTTGATATCATATTATCGGCCTCTAAGAATTGTTTTTTGATCTCATTATTATCCTTTTGTTCCATTGCATCAAGCCAATAAATGATACTTGAGCTGATGATGATAACAGTTGGTCGTTCATTTGGATCAGAATCCATGCACCTTTTGGCCAATTTTACATAGCATTCTGGAGTTCCCTCACCAAATTCTGGTCGTTCATTTTCATCACAAATCCTTGAAGAAAGTTCAGTATTAAAAGGAATGCCATCAAATGCTTTTTTTTCCAGAAGATATTTCAGTCATAATAACACCGAAAGAGTATATATCAGCCGCTTGAGTGAATTGTCGACCATTTAAGACCTCAGGAGCTACGTATGGCATGACACCATGGATTTTACCATCTTGTTTATCAGACGATGTTGAAAGACCTAAATCAGTGATGTACGCATCATGCAAAAGATCTTGCAAAATATTTCCAGAGTGCAAATCTCTATGGATTAATTCCTGGCAATGTATGGATTCAAGATCCGAAGCTATACAATGCAACAAATTTAGCTTTTTTTTCCAATCCATTTTTACAACTTTAGAAAGGTTTTCACGCAACGATCCTTCCTTTGCATATTCCAAAACTA